ACCTTCCTGCTTCCTCCTGCTCAATATCATCCAAAAATAAAGAAGAAGTGACATGAGAATGAAGCTCGTACTAAATCTTCATAAATTTTTTTTCTCTGCAGAATGGTAGGGCTAGGTTGACAAAATGCTCCTGCCTCTTCCTCTTTCGGCTAGCGTCGGGACTGGTTCCTTTAAATGGTGAAGGATTGGAGAACATTGATACATACAGCAGAGAAAAGTCAATGAGATTATCGCCCCTGGCCGAAATGTTTAAGAATTTTTTTCAACAAAATGTGAAAAGTCTGGGCAACTCAGGCTTAAGTCGTGTTCTTCATCTTGGATGATATTTGGTAGAAGAGGTGCTTGTTCACCAGCAAATGCTCTTCAGCAAAGTATGAAGAAGAGGGGACATACAAGAACCATTTCTTGACATTTACGAACCTTCTTTCCGAATGTGAGTCGAAGTCTTTCTTGAATTGACTAGAGATTAGTTCTGTACTGGGCAGAAGACCCCCGAGCAGCCGGAAACGCCCGCTCCAAACGGATGTGGTATTCGTGACTGAGGGTTCAAACTGCTCTACGAGCAAATATTAGTCAAAGAGATCTAGGAGTTCCCATCGCAGTTTGGCCTGAAATTCGAAAAAATGGGTCGTGAAAGGTCTATGCTGATTGTTCTCCCCTATTTGGCAGTCTAATTTGGAACATCGCGATAGTCAGGCGTTACAAGCCGTTTCGTTTTAACACCGATGATAAATAAGCCTAGCGTTCACTGTAGGTCAACTTAGCCAGCTTCTGTTCCATTTACAACTTTTAGAAAGACGACGGATTTGAGACTTTCGATTTCTCACAGAATGCGCCGTGCGCATGACTTATCGGCGGAATCGCACGTGCAATCTGGTAGCACAGTTTCTCAGTGGCGAAAGGCAACGTTTTCATCAGCATTTTCATCCTTCTAAAGAAACCAGGCACCGATCAACCAATCACGCAACGAATGTGACGCCTTGTAGCTTTTTCAAAAAATAGGGTATCCCACCTCCAATCACGCTCTCTGCTCTGGGGCGAGGGCGAGCAGGGCCGCTAAAGCCACTACATATCACACAGCATCCTCATATGATTATGCACTGGGGAAACTACCATTCCCTTCCATCCCAGAGCTCAGAAAAGGTGTGGTTCGTTCTCCCTACACTTGATGCGGGTAAATCGCAGACACATATTAGCAACACATATTCACACTCCATGTCCGCTCTAGGTGAGCCTTTTTCGCTGCCATGAAACATTCCTATCCACATTCATGGGAAATATTGTGCCCTCAGAACGTCCGATTATGAAGAACTTTTTTCCCCACATGATGAAATAAAACCATATTGTAAACAATGAAAGCTCTACCGTCAGCTGATCTTCGTTGGTAAAGGCTTGAAACCAGAAAGTGATGATCTCATGATCCCTTCACGGTTTATGACATGCAGAAGAGTACTTTAGGTTATGAAGGGCAATATAACTGTGGCTCGCGATGGTTCATAGCTTTCGGATGGGTACACTCAGACAATTTACTGAAGAACTCCAGAAAATGAGGAATTCTACCCTTGGCTGTGCTTGTCGGCGCACTGAACTAACTGACTCTCTATTTCGTCCACGTTTGATCTCAGGGCTTTGTCAACTGCGAACCCTCTCTTCTCTTTCCTTTTTTCTTCACCTTTCTTTCTTTTCCTCCCCCTTCTCTGTTACCTACCTTCATTACCTTCTCCCTCCGCCTAATGGTCTAGTAGATACTATGAAAGAATACCTCTGGACCCTCGCAGTGGGAGCACATCTGGTTGACAAGTGCCCTGTAACAAGCCAATCGAGTAATTGTAAGGCACAAAATTTGTGAACTGTAGTCACTTTTGATCACAAATGTTGCTCGAGCTCGGCTCCCAGCAGCACCTCTGCTTGCTTCTCTCGCGAGCCAGAGTCTTATCGACTGTACTCGCATGAGAGAAGTAGCGAATCTTCTTCCTTTACACAGAACCTTAATTGCACGGTCTGTGATAAAAAGCCTAGGTGATTTTGCAGAAATGTGGAAGAAAATCCGCCAAGTGAACCATCTATGAATGAGAAAATGCCAAAAGGAACGTTGGAAACGCATTCGTCAGACCTCTCTAGCCTCAAAAACTGCAGAGGTAAAAGACTGAAAAGTGGCGCGCGGCTGGGACTATTTCTGTTGGCTGAATTCTCATTGTAACGACCTAGATCTACAGGAGACATTTGAATGCATCACATTCCATGCATACTTAGCCCCGGGAGCCATTACTTTTGGCTGGAAGGCCGACTTTGGAGCGCGAGTCTGGAGGCGGAGCCACTGGAAAAAGGGATGTACCACTGAAGCAACTTTGCGCCTTAATCCCTTTATCGTACAGCATTGCGCAGCAAAACTGGCCCAAGGTTGCCCACTCCGTACCGCACTACCTTCCCACATAACCTCTCCCCATTTTCATTGGTCATCGCGGAAACGCTCCTTCAAATGGAAGGCAGCTACGCGCATTATTTGAATGCGTAAGACGCCCCCCTCCTTAGACGGTTTAGTCCGGCAAAGAACCACAGAGGATGTCCCACTTTGCGGTTCGAAAATGCGTGATAAAGATGCACAGCGCTCGTGACAGCCTTGTGCTTCGCCCACTGTCCAGTACTTCATCCAGGGTTTACTTCTGACAGTTCTTTGGAGTGCGCGTGTTCTGTCACTGGCTGTTTCCATTTCGAAATGGTAAGACTGAGGTAACCAAGCGAAAAAGGATAAAAGGATGAATTTCCCCGTGATCAATCCATTTTCGAGATACTGAACCCATCCCACTTACATTCAGAATCGTAGTGGCTTAGTGGATGCGAAGTGGCCTGAAAAACGACTTGCCAGGTCAGCCGACGTACAACTCGGCGTTCCCATTCTCCTAGACAAGTCTGGGACCAAGAGTCCATGGGGAGAAGGAAGAAAACAAAAAAAAAAAACTGGGCGGAAGGCTGTTCCATAAGTTAATTCTGAACGCGCGCATGCCACGTGCCATTACACCACCTCTTCCTCAGTGAAGGAGAAAAATTACGTGATCTTATCCGGACACATCTCCTTCTCGCTGCATGGACCTGCGAGTTCGGTCTGGAAGGGGTCCTTTTCAGGGCACTTCTGTCCGCCTTTTCCTGCTTTTTCCTCGCCGCTGACTTACCTGCCACATTTCCATTCATATTTCAACTCAACTACCCGTGATTTTTGATAGCAGGGCGTGCCTGGAAAAAGTGTGCCTATGCCTGTTATCGATGATCGAGTTGGATGGATCACATCAGTCCAAAAGGCGTTGCATTTCTGTCCCCACGACTGTATACAAGCGAATGGAGTAGCTCGTGTCACCACATATGCCGTTGGCCACTCTATAGTAAGGCGTTTTTTATTCTTCCATATGCACGTGCTCAAGATTCACAATGCTCGGCGCATGCCATGCATTCATCTATGGAGGCATTTGCAACACGCACAAAACGTTGATCAGTTGGCGCGACGGTAAATTGGTTCGGTAATAACCCAACTGTATGATCGGTTGATCGCCCGCCACTAAATCGCATGACGAATCAAAATCGGCTGCTCTTTGAAACTTTGGCATCCGTTCTTACATCTCTAAACACTACTCATCAAGTGCGTTGTTTTGAATTCCTGTTCTTTATTTCTTCGCTTGGAGGAAAAGTGAAAGGAAGCGATTGCTGATATAGCAAGGGGGCTCAATGAGTGGGACCGACTCCGCCCAGTTGGCAAGCGTGAAATGTGGTTTTGACAGTTACCCTGCCAATAGAAGATCACGGTGCCTCTAGATTGTCTATTCCGCTAAAAAACTTGAAACCAATCGAAGTGCATATCAAGGCAGTTGTTTGGAAGATTTAAAGCCTCCATTACCCCAGAAGGAAATGGCACCCCTTTGGGAAGGCATTAGGGCCACAAAGTTCGAGCCCCCCAGCGGCAATTATGCAGAGTGAGAACGGCTCAGACTGAATGGACATCACTCTAACGGCAGAATTGGCAGTGATTGTGGTCTCTGAAATTCTTCTGGAAATCTCTTTTCAATCAGGGATTACAGTAACTTTGTTATTGCCATTGAACGCGTCTAATCCTTCGCTGACCGGGTCATGATCTGGCCTATAAATGATAACCTTTCGCAATGATCGTCCGATCCATGACGTATAAATTCTCTCCATTTTTTTGTTGTTTCCGATGTTCTCTTTTTTGATTAATAAATCTTATTCCCGAAATATTCATTTGAGTTTCAGATTTCAACGATGAAGCAATTATCGTTCTGTTTAGCAACAATCACCGCTTTTAGTTTGAGCGCTTACGGTAAGCCACTCGAATTTTCCTCCCCTACATCAACATAAGGAAGAAGTTGTTGTTTTCATAAATTATTCCAGTTACTTATTATATCTTTTTACAGCTCTCAACTGTCCACCTGTACTTCCTCCTCTCGGAGGAACCACCTCTTTCACTGGAGAGGCTAGAGAAGGATCCGTGGCCGTAGGACAGTGCCCACTTGGACAAACCATGAGCGGTGAGAGATTGAACTTCTGTTCTTTAACTGAATGCTCCAAGCTTGTCGCGTATTCGGAGTCGGGCCTACCATTGTGCTCTCCTTGCTCCCTCTGTCGTTCCTGAATTTAGTGATTTATCAGTTAAGAAGATACAGTGCTAGACCTGGTTTCGCCTGCACTTCCATCCTGAAATGTGTATTGAAATTCTTTGGATTTCGCGTCAGTTTGCAAGTGTGGGTGCAACTATTTACCATGCAGCGAAAAATTTTACTTTTGCTCCAAAAAAATTACAGTTGAATCACAAGTGAGCGTCGTAGTATCGAAAGAGGCATTAAGAAGCTGCTAAAGCAGACTTTTGGCGGATGACTCCGAGAATGGGACATACTCGGAGAGAAAGTGGAAATCATTTGTAAAAATTCCAGGGAGATTTGAAAGGTTTTTTGCTTCCTTAATAAATCGGCTACATATCCCTTCCACCTCACTTCGAGCGCAAAACCCACCTGAGCTACGGCCATTATCCCTGCAAATGACAGGGCGGGTAAAGAGGCGTGGATTGGAGCGCGATCAGGACTAATTTTCCACCAGTGATGCCATCCTGATTGCAACAAATGGCAGGAAAGGCCGTCCCGACTTCGATTTTCTCTCACCTAGTTTTTAGGGGTCGCGACTAGATGTATATTGTAATGTGCCTTTGAATATGGTCATTCTCATAGTTTGACACGAAAAAAGCCATGACGTTGAGGGACCTGCGCAACTCTCAAGCGAACTGAAGTCTCTTTGCAGGTCCATACTCTATCACGTGCACCAATGGCGCATGGTCACCACCAGCCTTCGGAATCTGTACGACAGGAGTTGGGGGATTGATGCAGTCGTCATCAGATTCACTGGCTGGACTGTCAAGTGGAGTGGGTACTGGATTAGGAAATGGATTAACTGGACTAGGAAATGGACTGGGAACTGGAAGTAAGTTCAACTTTCTGGAATTCTATCATTTTGTAATGCCGAACCTAATGACACTTTTGATTTAGTCGCTGGACTAGGAAATGGTCTAGGAAATGGACTGGGTGGTGGACTAGGAACTGGAAGTAGGTTTAACCAACAATTCATCATTTTGTAATGCCAAATTTAATGACACTTTTGATCTAGTGGGTACTGCACAATGTCTACCAATGCTGCCACCACCTGGCTCAACGATATCATACAGCACTGGTGCATCGAGTACTGGCCTTCCTCCACTGCAGAATCATGGGACGATAGCCACGATGAGATGCAATGACAATTCACCTGTATCAGGTAGGACTAATTTTAAAGCGAAGTCGAGAGAACCAGTTTGTTTTATCAACGGTGATTAGGAGGGACTACTAAATATGACCCCTGTAGCTTATGTTGATTTACCCGCGGAATATTGGAGACTGTGCAAAAAGGAAACTACAGCCTTGTTCGCTGCCGATGTCGGCGCGCGTCACGTGGGGGGAGGGGGGGGGCAAGAGGCGGAGGGTGGTCTGGGTTTGCGGTGGCTTCCGTTTCCAACCCATTGTTATCACTTGCCCGCTTTACAGATTGGTGGAGAATGGGCTGGCGTCGTGCCAAAGAGCCCTCTGACACGCTCGTCATCCCCAGCGGCGGTGTTCTTACCAGAATCGTGGAAGCGGGATCGAAGCAATAGTACCATTCCACGCGCTCCCTTTTCTCTTTAAAGGCAGTTGGCACGATGGTTTCCCACTCGGCCTAAAATGGTAGTAGGGCGCTATGTAGTGGGGAAATGGCGAAAGAAGGAGTGAAACGGTCAAGCGAAGAATCTAAAGAAAAACTCGCGTTTCAAGTGAACTGTAAAATCGATTTCGGACGAATTTTCCCCGTAGGCATCTTACCAATCACCGCTACCGAAGATACGGCTGCATATTGTGTACCCATGTATGCATGCAGCATCACGGCCGCTTCATACCAATCCCTTTGCTTCATAATTTGCTCAGCAAATGAATGAATACGAGCGTCAGAACGGTCGTCCGTTTGTGGAGAAAGCGGGACGGTTTGTTTGTTGCTGCGATAGGCGGCGTTATGAGGGTAACCCTCCTTGGCTAAGGCGCCCACGAGGCGCCTGTACGAGGTCATCGGAATTCTGTTAAGCAGTCGTAGAAATCGCTGACATTTGTATAGCAATTTTATCGTGGCCAACTGCGCTTTACGGACGCTTTAATTGCGTTCTTCGTGAGTCTCGCCGTCTCACGGTCAAAAGGACAAAGTATGAACTATTCGCCTTGAACAGCCCTTTTTTTGGGGTGCGACAGGTAATTTTCAAATGTGACCCATTGAATGCAACCTTTCTTGCTTTCCACTTGGCTTAGAGGGCCAGCCGATGTATGTGGTGAGTCAGTGTTTCCACCTACCAGACAATTCTGGTGCCACTCATGCACGGGGGGGGAGGACCAGAGGGGTGCAGGTCGATCGGCATGGGGCGGAGTCTCGACCTCTTCTCGGAGCACCGGCCAGTCGTGTCGGCTCCGGCAGTTTCACTAACATATGTTCATTAAACGACAGCAATGTGTGAACCCGCTTCAAAGCAGTCGGCACGGATGATTTGGTGCTCGCCTAAAATGCTAGTAGGGCGCTATATAGTGGGGAAAATGGCGAAAGAACGGAGTGAAACGGTCAAAATCCTGCGAAGAAAGAGCCTCCGTTCTCAATGTGTTGAAAATCAATTTGGACGAGTTTCCCGTAGGCATCTTGCCAATAACGCCACGTGCGGCTGCATACTGTGTATGGTGCTCATCATTGCAGAACGCGATGGGGCGGCTGAGGCCGCGGCCTCGTGTAACTCGGCTGTGACGGCGACTGTATCGCTGCGCAATCAACAGGCCAGTCACACGCAGCGCGCTTCAGCCCGCCGCCACCGGTCTGTAATGATGAGACCTGTACATTGATCTGCGAAGAAACAGCCTCGAAGAAGAAAGATCAATGCAACATCACGACCGCTTCATACCCAATCCCTTCACTCATAATTTCTTAAAGGCACTTTCCGCGATAAAATAAGGCTATGACCTTTCAAATGTGTCAGACGATCCGGAAGGAGATTGCGGAGGCTGCGCTACCTTTAGAAAGTGAAAATCGGCAAGAATTCCGCTTTAAGCTAACCAATTAGGCCCATGGGCCCCTTAGGCCCATGCCGACCCCCACCGGCTGCTAGCTACTAGCTAGTAGCCACTATGCTATCTCTCTCCATTCCGAATGGTGAGAGTGAGGTGATACGATAAAAGAGCTGATATCTTTATGATAACGACGAGTGGAAATTCGTACAAACATGCGTTTTCTTCATTGCATGCATGTACAAGTTGGGTCGATATGGAATCCTATTTAGGGCATTTTCGGCTGTTTTTCTGCTGCTTTTCTCCGCTAATCAGATACCTAGCCCTTTTTCGTTCCTATGTGGGTTCCGTTACCCACAATCTGTGGTCGCGGGCTTTGCCTTTAAGAAGCAATTCGAGCGTCTGGCAGCGGTTCGTCTTATTTGTGGGCGGCGCGGGCCGTTTGGATCGCGTATAATTTGTGGCTTGATAGGGCCCTTATAAAGGCCCTGCTTTCCCTAGCGCACCTCGGAAAAGGCCATTAGCAGCGTTTGCTCGGGGGTCGACGCGAATTCCAACCCCCTGCCAGGCGTATTAATCCTACTCTTCGTTAGTGAATTTATCGCTGGCCAACTGCTTTAAGCTTCACAAGATAGGTAGACAGATGAAGTAAACATTGATGAATCCTACTGTTTCCTTGATTTTCTAGCCTGATTACCAGGTTTGCTTGACGGACGTAATATTCTCAAGTCTTCAATATCACTTGGAAACCTGCTTCCAAAGTTTGGGTTTTCATGCAGACACTTTTTGAAATCTCTTCGCAGAAATTTGGCTCTGCTTTAAGTTGAGAGCCAAATTTCTGGCGGAAGAAGATGTTCAAAAAAGTGCCTGCATGAAGATTGGAGATTTGGCCTCATTTAAAATGTTGGAGAAGTGCGGAGTGAAGGCCATAGAAGTGCATAATTAATCAAACGGGATAGGCCTATCTCCACCGTAACTGTTAGCGCCGGGGACGTCGTACTGCTCTATGTAACTGCATGCAGTTGGCGCAATCTCCCCCGAAGGACAACCAGACTCGTAGGAGCAAATGCTTTCTGAAGGCATTTACATAGATTGCAGACATTTCAATCACTTTAAATGTGCACAGTGCGAGATTGGGGGGAGTACTCGGGCGTATCATTGGCAAAACCGATGGATGTCTTTTTTCCTTTGTTTTCCTAGGGGAACCTGCTTTCATATTTACCCTCAAGGCCGTGCCATGGTCATTACTCACAGGCTCCTGTGAAACTAACCCCTTCACACCCATACAGAAATAGAGCCTCGCTTGTAGTGTCCCAATATTTTGCTTTCGTTACTTATTCCATTCTTCCAAATGAAGACCCATTTAATCACGCTGCAGACATACAACACGCTGCACGGCCAGACACGCCCACTCATATCCGCATTGTCTTGTCATACCTTTCTCGAGAGTTCTCGAGCGGGGATTTCCCCGATCAATGTATTTACACTGACTGATCAGATATGAAAAGTTGTGTACACTTCGTATCTCAGCACCGGAGGGCACCGGAGAGAGAGTGTCCACAGACTGATGGTGAGTTGTGAGCATGGCGGTGAATCACTTGAATGTTTGAATTCCCTTCATGTCATGTTCCTTACCCTCCGTCGCCGAGAAATGGATTGTAGAGTGTTTTTTAATTACTAACCTGAAGTTACTGTTCCACTTACTTCAGGAACATCCGTGGCAACGTGCCAAAATGGTCAATGGCAGCCACCCACAATGGGAACGTGCACGAATAACAACAGCAACGGCCGTATGTCATTATTAGAAGTTCACTAAGTTCACTTTTTTTTCTGCTCTCGATAAGATGATCTTGCAGTCGGCTCGCCTATGAACACCGGCCTCGGCTCTAGCGGCTCTTCAAACGTGGTTCCTGGCTTGTCAGGCTCACTACCCTGTCCCCTGGGTGTTGTTCCACCGCTGAATGGCAATGTTGTATATAGCTCAACACCACCATATTCGCAAGGAACGACAGCCACCTTAACGTGCAATGCCGGATTCGTCGTAAAGGGACAAAGTACGGTATCGTGTCAGAACGGACTCTTTGGCGTTCTGGGAACGTGCGAAAAAGTTTCCGTTTAGGGCGAACCGTCTGTCTAATAAAATTGCTTGTTAAAATTGATTACTATGTTTTGTTATTGTCGAACTAAGACTGAATGAAACTTAACTACTTATCCATTTGGTCATGTTGTAACTGCCATACAGCTTTACCGTAGTCGAGTCGCAAGGTTGTGCTCGGCTATACGGTTACAGCGACAGCGACAAGTTCAGTGACATATTCCACTGTCATAAGTCTCAGTAAGTGGGTTCAAAATTTGAGCTCGTAGTTGTAAATTGATTCAGTGGTAAAGGGAAACGCCAATCAATACTCGAAAGTGCGCGGAAATGGTTGTTAGCAGGATGTTCTCTGTGTCAACGCTCACCATTCACTACACCATGAATAGGCTACAGACACTCAACACGCCGCACGGTAGTAACAAAGAAAAAGTGAGAACCGAGCCGCCAACCATTGCGCCGCAATCATAGCGCGACGGCAAAATGTCTACGCAACTCTAGGACTTCATGACTCAGCGCCTTAGTTCTCTTGCAGCGCACTTCGCACATGTTTCAACCATGTTCCATGCGGGTGTCCTGGCTTGCCCCACGGTCTCGGTCACGAATACATTGGCAATATTACACAGTGTGTGGTTCTGATGAGTTTGCTATTTTATCCATTGCGGCATTTGTGATATTACGCCGTACACCCGCCGTTCAATATACTCCAATCCCTAGGAATAATGCGTAGGCGTCGGCCGCCGCACTTGACGCACTAAGCGCTTTGGTGGCTCTGCGCTGGTGGCTCTGCTTCTGAGTAAGATATGTTCCATAGGACAACATGGTGTGAGCGCGTCTCTGTTCACAGTGAACCATGAAGTCGTTTCAAATTGAAATATCCCACGAGTAAGCCATTCTATGCCATGACCGAAATGCCACGCCTACTCCGACTCAGGGATAAAGAGTTTCAGTGTTAGTAACCATAAACTTTCCTTCTGCGGGAATATCAAGTCTTCAGCACGACAAACCTGTTTAACAGAAACTATCCTACTATATATAATCCGCTAAGTATGTCTGTAAGTGTGTGTGTGTGTTTGTGTGTTTGTGTGTGCGTCCGTCTGTGTCTGTCACGAAATTCATAGCGAGCGTCGCAGAAGAGATAGGATGACAGTTCCAAGAAGTGATATACACGGCAGGACGGGAACAGTTTTGGTGGGTGGCAGAAGGTGATAGCACTTGATAAGATTCGATAAGGTGCCTTAGAAGGGGAGGGTGACCGAGTCCATAGTGCGGGACACAGCAACAGTAGGAAGTTGGTTCTAAGGTATGATATAGGACGTGAGACAGGAACATTATTGATGGGTGACAGGGAATGATAGCAGCTGATAAGATCCGTCAAGAGGCTTCAGAAGGTTAGGGTGATCGAGTCCATAGTGCGGGACACAGTAACAGTAGGACATTGGTTCCAAGGTATGATATAGGACGTGAGACAGGAACATTATTGATGGGTGACAGGGAATGATAGCAGCTGATAAGATCCGTCAAGAGGCTTCAGAAGGTTAGGGTGATCGAGTCCATAGTGCGGGACACAGTAACAGTGGGACATTGGTTCCAAGGCATGATATAATTGGCGTTGATGATACAGAGAGCATTATTCTGATGGTGACAGGGAATGATAGCAGCTGATAAGATCCGTCAAGAGGCTTCAGAAGGTTAGGGTGATCGAGTCCATAGTGCGGGACACAGTAACAGTGGGACATTGGTTCCAAGGCATGATATAGGACGTGAGACAGGAACATTATTGATGGGTGACAGGGAATGATAGCAGCTGATAGGATTCGATAAGGGGAGTTAGAATGGTAAGGTCACCATAGA